TGTGCTGGTGGCCAGGTGCTAGTGGCCAGGAGGCAGGCTTGCAGAATGTGTCCTTTAGTTATTTAAATGATTATATATTTCTGAGTGTTTTTGTGTACATCCCCCCCCCAAAAAAAAACAAAACACAAACAAAAAACAGAGGGAATAGAAGCAAATACCGTTGAATGATGATACACAGAAGAGATTGTAATCATTGCAATGCAATGAAATGATGAGTGTAAAATGGATGTGCTCCCATGTAAACTATCACTCAATTCACAATAAAAACTTTAAAAAAAATGTAAAAGAGAAAATATACTACTTTGAGGACTAAAGTGTACCTGACTCATATGCATGTGAAATCTGGATAATTAATAAGAAATAACTAAGAAGCATGGATGTCTTTGTGTTATGATGCTGGTGAAGAATATTAACATTATACCATGGACTACCAGAAGAATGAACAAATCTGTCTTGGAGAAACTACAGTTGTAATGCTCTTTACAAGGGAGAATGTCAAAGCTTTGTCATGTACTTTGGTAATATTGTAAGGAAGGATTAGGGACAGAAGGACATCATGCTTAGTAGAACATTGAAGGGAATATGACTTGAGTCCTTCGATAATTACAGAATCGCTGTTTGGATATGGCATAAATTGAAGGGCACAGAATTCTGTAGGTTAGGATTAGAGAGAGAAATTTCACCTACACAATTGTATAGAACTAGATGGAAGATATTCAGAGAAGCAAAAGTTTCACATTTTCATATTTTTGTTACATAAAGGCTTCTATGATCTTAAAAAAAAGAAAGAAAGAAAAAGTCAATGTTCAACCATTTTAAGAGGTAGCATATTATCAAGAGCTAATGATACTGAAGAAGAAGTCCAAGGTGCACTGAAGGCATTGGCAAAGAACAAGGCTCTGGGAACTGATGGAATACAAATGAAATCTTTCAACAAACTGACTGAGCACTAGAGACATTCACTCATGTATACCAAGAAATTTAGAAGACAGCTACCTGGCCAACTAATTGGAAGAGATTCATATTTGTGCCCATGCCAAAGAGAAGTGAATGTGGAAATGATCTGACAATATTATTAATATTGTATGCAAGTAAAATTTTGCTAAAGATAATTAAAAAAACGGCTGCAACAGTACATTGACTGGGAACTGCCAGATGTTCAAGCTGGATTCAGATGAGGATGTAGAACAAGGGATATTATTGCTGATGTTAATGGATCTTGGCTGAAAGTAGAGACTACTAGAAAGATGTTTGCCTGTGCAAACACTATGCAAAGGCTTTCGATTGTGTGGATCAAAGCTGTGGACAACATTATAGAGAATGAGTATTCCAGAACACTTAATTGTGGACAACATTATAGAGAATGAATATTCCAGAACACTTAATTGTGGACAACATTATGGAGAATGAGTATTCCAGAACAATTGTGCTCATGAGGAACCTATACATAGATCAAGAGGCAGTTGTTCATATAGACAAGGGGACATTGAATGGTTTAAAATCAGGAAAGGTGTGCACCAAGGCTATTCAATCTGTATGCTGAGCATATAATTCGAGAAGCTGGACTATATAAAGAAGGATGTGGCATCAGTATAGGTGGGAGACTCATCAACAACCTACAGATGATGCAACCTTGCCAGCTGAAAGTGAAGAGGACTTACAATACTTTCTTATGAAGATCAAAGAACACAGCCTTAGGTATGGGTTGCACCTCAATGTAAAGAAAACAGAAATCCTCACCACTGGATCAATAAATAACATACATATAAATGGAGAAATTATTGAAGTTGCCAAAGACTTAATTTTACTTATATCTACCAACAACACTCATGGAAGCAGCAGTCACGAAATCAAATGACGTGTTGCATTAGGCAAATCTGCTGCATGAGACCTCTTTAAAGTGTTCAAGAACGAAGATGTCAGTTTGAGGACTAAGGTGCACCTGATCCTAGCCACGGTATTTTCAATAGCCTCATATGCAAATGAACATTGGAAGATGAATAAGGAAGACCATAGAAGAATTGATGCATTTGAGTTATGATGTTGGAGGAGAATATTGAAAGTTCCATGGATTGCCAAAAGAACAAACAGATCTGCATTGGAAGAAGTACAGTCAGAATGCTCCTTAGAAGCCAGGATGGGGAGACTTTGTTTCTCATGCTTCGGACATGTTATCAGGAAGGACCAGTCCCTGGAGATGGACATCATGTTTAGTAAAATGGAGGGTCATTGAAAAAGAGGAACACCCCCAGTGAGATGGATTGGCACAGTGACAATAGCAATGGGCTCAAACATGGCAACAATTATGAGATTGGTGCAGGACTGGGCAGAGTTTCATTTTGTTGTACATACCATCACTATGAATCAGTACTGACTCAATGGCACCTAATAACACAACAATTTGCACATAACCCTTATGTATTAGATTATTGAATGTGGTATTATAAAGGAGATAATAACAGTTCCCTGGTGAGGATCCAAGAGTGACAGTTATAGGCTGAAATGGGATACGATTACTTTTAGTGTTGTTGTTAAGTGCCATTGAGTCGGTTCCAACCCTTAGCAAACCTATTTAGGGTTTCCGAGGAGCAACTGGTAGGTTTGAACTGTTGACCTTGCATTCAAACTCACCTTTCAGTCCAGTGCATTATCCTGTAGTGCCAACCAAGACTCTATTTTTAGGATATTGTTGTTGTTGTTGTTAGGTGCCATCGAGTCGGTACCGACCCATAGCAACCTTTGCACAGCAGAACAAAATACTGCCTGATCCTGGGCCAACCTCACTATTGTTGCCATGCTTGAGTCCATCGATGCTGCAACTTTAGGATAGGGGAATGTATTTGTGGATTATTAACAACACCCACCATAGAGTAACTCATTGACTTTGAGGGTGAGGGTATGTGAAGATAACAGTGTTTATAGTATTGATAAAATTTCACAGGATTTTATTTTATTATTTAGAGAAATCTCCCTTTGCTAGTCTAAGGACAAATTAGGAAATTGGGCAGTCCAGTACATTATCCTGTAGCGCCACACCAGGACTCTACTTTTAGGATAGGGGAATGTATTTGTGGATTATTAATAACACCCACCATGGAGTAACCCATTGACTTTGAGGGTGAGGGTATGTGAAGATAACAGTGTTTATAATATTAAAATTTCACAGGATTTTACTTTATTATTTAGAGAAATCTCTCTTTGCTAGTCTACGGACAAATTAGGAAATTGGGTATGTAATTTCCCCTTAGAGCAGTGTCATTGATTCACCCATTTGACATTTGTCTTCATTTTTTTAGCTAGCACAAAAAAAATCAGTTTCCCACTAGTCTTACTGCTTACAGTATAGTAGCTATAGGTGTTTTTATCCATCGGCATTCTCCTCCAATGCTTGATAACTGGAGTGGGGATTTGTAGTTGTTTTTCTAAGGCTACCAGTTTATTCTACTTTTGATCGAAAGCTTTTTTGGAATTCTGTAATGGGGATATTTCCCATTCCAGTTTTTGTTGCAAATTAATGACTATTTCTGAATTAAAACTGTTTACAATTAGTGAGGAAAGTATCTCATTGCCTACAGTATTTTCACATATAAGATGCCCATGTAAATAGCGCATACACACATATAACATGCAGCATAGGGAACGAATCCTCTAGGGTATTGTGGGATTTACAAAAAAGAAAAGTTAGCACTCACATAACTTGTGTAAAAATACTGGAGTGCTGAAAAATGTCTAAAGATGCTAACGAACTTACCCTTGAAGTCTCCAATCCGCCCCACCCCCCCGTTTTCTTTTTATAGCTTGCTTGCAGCACTGAATTAGAGTCTGACATATTTTCATAGGTAAAACTTTGGGGATAGGCTATTGAAAGATTTTATTCAACATCTACAGCTTTTCTATAGATGTTCAACATCTATACAGCTTTTCAAATCCATCTGGTCATACAGTTTGGGATTTCCTGAGTCACTTCAAAGATCTCCTATTCTGTTGTTTCTATTCCATTTATTGGAATCTGAGATTTCTTCTGACATATAAACCAACTGACATGGTTCTGGGCACTGACAATATTATTTTTTAAATTAGTGATGAGAATGAAAATATTTTAAAGTAATTATCAACTGCAGGAAAAAAGTTATAGTTGTGAATAGAAATGTAATCATTGTATACTACATGGTTTAGCATTGAATATTTTCATATCTATTGTAATGTAAATACCAACTATTAATTTAAGCTAAGGTTTTGATAAAACTGTTAGATGAATAGGGACAGAGGATGTGGGGTAATGGTCAATTGTATAAGAAAGCTAAACTCCCAAGTATCATAACTGGAAGTCAAGAGACACATTTTTAAAATGGATAAATCAATGTATTATTTAGCAATATGGAAGCAAATAATAAAACAATTGAAACTGGTTGCCACTTCTAGATTTAATTTCTTAAAATAATGACAATTATTTGATAAATATAGAAGAAAAAAATTTATCTAAAAGGACAGAATAATACACAATCTCTATCAAAAAGAGGGGAGAAGGAAAGGACAATAATGGAATAATGTATGTGGATTATTTCCTAAAGACTGCCCTGTGGTAGTTTTTGTTTGTTTTAATATTCAGTGAGTTGCCATATACTTAAATAATAAAACTGGTTTTCGAGGTAATTTTGGAATCTATATATTAGGACTGTTCATATGAATAACTGCTGGCCAAAAGATTGTCTTGAAAAAAGGAAGGAGCATCCTGGAAGAATTCAGTGTAGAGTTTAAAAATTTGAAAAAAATCAATGTGTTTTTATCATTAAGAAACAATTTAAAATAAACTTTATGAATGCTGATTCCATGATAGTTAAAAAATAATAAAAATTGGTTTAAAGCTGCGTTTCAAGAACAAAAAATAGTATATGCAATAAATATGTTTCACTTTTATTTAAAATGTAAACCTAGTTTAAATTTAAAGTGGAAAAAATTGCTACAATTTACATTTTCATTTCTCATAATTTTAAAAATAGGAAACTCTTCAGAATCAAAAGGAAACATTAGACAAGCAACACAAAGAAGCAATGACAGTTTTTAAAAAGCAGGTAATTTCATAAGGCAAAACAAAGTTTTAAATCTTCGCCTGAATAGTATGATAAGCTGAATTCCATATTCACTGAAGACAAAAAGAAGAAAAAGTGAGTGATTTAAAAAAAAAATAGTTTTAAAGTTTTGAATCAAGACAAATAGCGAAGTTGATGAAGTAGTAGAATGAATTAGTTAAGAAGAGAAGCTGGGCAAGCTTTTTTCTTGAAAATGGGGATGTCTTTTCCTCTGTTCTAAATGCTTTTAGGTCATTGTGATTGATATTTGTGTTCGTGTTCTCTCTTCTCTTTTTTTCATTAAAGTATTCTAGGATCTTACTTTCTTCACACTACCCCTTTACTCAAGCCAGAATTTTAACACTGATAAAAAGCTGAGATGCAAGTTGTTGTTAAGTGCTGTTGAGTCGGTTTGGACTCATGGCAACCCTGTATAGGATTTTCAAGGAGCAGCTGGTGCGTTTGAACTGCTGACCTGTGATTAGCTGTCCAGTGCCACATAGGGACTCTGTGAGATGCAAACAGGGTGATGTAAAGGATAAGGGAAGGTACTGTATATATCAGTTATAATAAGAAAAACTTGTAGAAAAGTAGAGAAAATAAAAGGAGATTTGAACGAGATGAATTGCAACATCTTCAGTTATTTTGAATTCTGTAGTTCTTGGCTGCCTCAAATTTCCTGTTTGAAAATAGTTGTTGTTTTTAGAGTTGATACCAACTCATAGTGACCCTATGCACAACAGAACAAAACACTGCCTAATCCTAGGCCAACCTCATAATTGTTGCCATGCTTGAGCCCATTGATGCTGCCACTTTGCCAATCCATCTCTCTGGGGGGGTCTTCCTCTTTTTCTCTGACCCTCCACCTTACCAAACATGATATCTTTCTCCAGCGACTGGTCCCTTCTGACAATATGTCCAAAGTATAAGAGATGAAGTTTGGCCATCTTGGCCTCCAAGGAACACTCTGACTGCACTTCTTCCAATACAGATCTATTTGTTCTTTTGGCAGCCCATGGCACTTTCAATATTCTCCTCCAACACCATAACTCAAAAGCATCAATTACCTATACCAATATCACTAGTTTCCCCCCCCCCCCCTTTTTTTTCCTTTCAGCGTCTAGAAAGCAAACTATACAGAAAGAAATAAATCTAAATCATTAGTGGGTAAGGTTTTGTTAACTTACACTGTAGTGTAAATTTTTTAAAGCAGATGATGAGATTTCTTCCTTTTACCTGAGAATGACCTAACCAAACTTCTGGCAGTTTTAATGAAAGGTTAAGGTATTTGAAAGCCAATTGTGGAATGTAATATTCTCTAGGAAAGAGCAAGACCATGTCCTATTATTCCTTAATAATTTTGGTCAAATACCTAGATATTTAGAGGGAAGTGAAGAAAATGCTCTTAGATTTTTGAAAAAGAATTCTTCAGTGAAAGTGAGGACTATGGGAAAGGAGATGAGAGAGTTCCAAAAATATTTTATTCCTTGACAATTTTACATAATATCTTGGTTCTGCTTAGAATATTGCTTATTTTAGGTTTCCTGTTTTAAAATGGCATTATTCATTAAACTTCCTTGCCATCTATATTTTTAAACATTTTCAAACCATAAATACTATTGATATAAATGTCAATGATATTGAATTGCTTCTTCAGAAAGCTATACATGTTAATATTTACAAATAACATAAATTACAGATAGTCATTCAAGGAAAACTTCTGGAGAGAAAATAAAAAGATTGGTATTTCTAATTAGGATAATTAAGTGGTCTTTTATTTTAGTGACTGGCTGCCCCTTTTTATATCTTTATCATTTTACTTTCTAAAAATAAAAATAGCATAGTCACATCAAACAATGTAGACATGCAAAATTTTTCTGTAATCTCTCTGACCTTTATAATTGCTCTTTACTCACTTGTATTTTAATATTTTAAATTATTTATTAGTTACAAATGAAGATGTGTTCCTTAGAAGAAGAAAAGGTATTTATTAATTTTAAAATAAGTTGAAGCATATTTAAATGTGTTTAATTATCATTGTAGAAAGGAACATTAGTAATAAAATAATGGTGATTCCTGATTACGTATGGTTCAGTGCCTTCTTTAAAAAATTTTTTAAATGATTTGGATTTGCGTACATACCAACTGACAAACCAAATAATCTGGCACTAAATATTTTTTCTGTTTAAGTTAATATTTGTTTTTATTATGTTAATGAAAATTCCGTTTAGACTATAATTTTTTATTTTTAGAAAATCTTTTAGAATTTCTCAACCGTATCCTTATGTTCTAAGACAGATATATTTGTACCTTACTAACTAGAATGTATGAGGGGATTTAAAAAGTCATAGAAAAATGGAATTAAAAGATAATAGAATTTCTCCATGAACTTTTTGAAGACCCCTTATATTTATTTAAAACAGTGTTTTTAAGTTTTTAGTAGAAATGTTCAACTGGTTAAACATTTGTTGTTGTGAAAAGATTTTCCATTTTGTGATAAATATAATCAGATACTCAGATAAAGCCCTTATTATAACATTATGCTGTTTTAAAGGCATTGAAATGTAATTTCAAGTTTAGAGTTTGTAAAGTATTAGGCTTAAAGTATAGTTTTTGTTTTTTGAGCTCTTATATTTCTCCTTGACTTACATTGGAAAGTATTGAAATATAGTTTTTTTATTTAAAGGGGAAATATCAGCTTGCTACAGAAATAAAAGAGAAAGAAATAGAAGGATTGAAAGAAACATTAAAAGCATTACAGGTAAAGTAGCTTAGTATTGCTTAAAAACGATCTATATTTTAGCAGTGTATCAGTAAAACTCTATTAAACATGTAAGCTAGCTAAACAATGTTGATAAAAGTCAGTTTTATATTAATGGAATAGCTTTTAATATATTATAAAACTGGAATTATAAATTAGTAAGATATTTCATTGTCTTTCATTTTAAGATGAAATGTTAAAATAAATTTTATTATTTTTTACAGTAATATAATGAAATAGGTATTTTAACACTTTATAGATGAGAAAAACGAAGTCAGCACATATGACTGATTTATCTAAGGTCCTTAAAAGTTAAAATACAATAACATTAATTGAGTCCTATGTGCTTGTTTTCTGGGATTACAAAGCCTAAGAAAATACCTTTGCTCTCAGGTTGCTCCTAGTCTCACAGAAAATACAGAGTTATATAACTAATGATGATTTATTAAATATATGTTTATTGAAGATCTACTAGTAGATCTTGGTACTCTCAATTCTGGGGACACTACAGTGAATAAAAACAAAAACAAAACTGCTCTAGTGGGGAAGACAAACAATAAAATGAGATAAAAGTAAGGTTATCAGGAAAGAATATGTTCATAAGATCTCAAAGTATCACCTTATGTTGTTGTTAAGTGCCGATGAGTTAGCTCTGACTGATAGTCAACAGAACAAAATATCATCCTCAGTCTTGCAGCATCCTCGCAGTTTTATGTTTGAGCACATTGTTGCTGTCACTGTGTCAAACCATTTTGTTGGGGGTCTTCCTCTTTTTCACTGACCTTCTACTTTACCAAGAAGCATAATGTTCTTTTCCAGGGACAGGTCTCTCCTGATAATAAATCCAAAGTACATGAGACAATGTCTTACCATCCTTGTTCCTAAGGAGCATTCTAGCTGTACTTCTAAGACAGATTTGTTTGGTCTTCTGACAGTTCATGATATTTTCAATATTCTTTGCCAATACCGTAATTCAAATGCATCAATTCTTCTCCAATCTTCTTTATTCACTGTCCAGCTTTCACATATACATGAGGTGATTGAAAATACCATAGGTTGTATGAGGGGCACCTTGGTCTTCAAAGTGACATCTTTGCTCTTTAATACTCTAAAGAGTTCTTTTGCTGCAGATTTGTCCAATGCAATTGTTTGATTTCTCTGAGCATTACTGAGGATCCAAGTAAAATGAAATCTTTGGCAACTTCAATCTTTTCACCATTTATCATTGTGTTGTCTGTTGGTCTAGTTGTGAGGATTTTTGTTTTCTTTTAATTGATGTATAGTCTGTATGGAAGGCTGTATTCTTTGATCTTCATCACCAAGTGCTTCAAGTCCTCTTCACTTTCAGTAAGCAAGGTGTCATCTGCATATCACAGTTGTTAATGAACTTTTTTTCCAATCCTGATGGTGCATTCTCCTTCATATAGTCTATCTTCTCAGATTATTTACTCAGTATATACATTGAATAAATATGGTGAAACAATGCAACCTTGTTGTACATATTTCTGGATTTTAAACCATGCAGTATTCACTTGTTATGTTCGAACAATTGCCTCTTAGTCTATATATAGGTTTAGTACGAGCACAACTAAGTGTTATGGAATTCTCGTTCTTCTCAGTGTTATCATAGTTTGTTATGATCCACACAATCAAATGCCTTTGCATAGTGAATAAAACATGAGTGTAGCACTGTAGGATAAACATTGGACTGCTAAGCACAAAGTTGGTAGTTCAAACCTACTAGTTGCTTTTCAGAACCTTATGCTGGGCTACTATGAGTCAAACTGACTTGATGGCACTTAACAACAAAAACAACAACATCAAACATCTTTCTGGTAGTATCTACTTTCAGGCAAAATCCATCTGATATCAGTAATAATATCCCTCATTCCAATTCCTCTTCTGAATCCTGCTTGAATTGCTGGCAGCTCCTTATTGATGTTCTACTGCAGCCATTTAAAAATTACTTTCAGCAAAATTTTACTCGCATGTGATACTAATGATATTGTTCGATGGTTTCCTCATTCTGTTGGGTCACCTTTCTTTGGAATGGACACAAATATGGGTCTCTTCCATTTACTTGGCCAGGTAGCTGTCTAACAAATTTCTTTGGCTTATTTGTTACAGTGGAATGTAGAAATCATCAAGCATTATCATTAATATCACATGCATTTAAAATTTTGCTGAAAATAATTTAAAAATGGTTATAACAATACACCAACAAAGAACTGCCATAAATTCAAGCAGGATTCAGAAGAGGGAATGGAACTAAGTATATCATTGCTGATGTCAGATTCATCTTGGCTGAAAGCAGAGAATTACAGAAAGATGTTTACTTGTGCTTTATTGACTATGCAAAGACTTTGGACTGTATGGATCATGACAAACTATTGATAACATTGTGAATAATGGGTGTTCTAGAACACATTATGGTGCTCATAAAGAACCTGTACATAGACCAAGAGGCAGTTGTTAGAACAGAACAAGGGGATACTGAATGGTGTATAATCAGGAAAGATGTGTGTTAGGGCTGTATATCATTTCACCATGCTTATTCAATCTGTATGCTGAGCAAATAATCTGAGAATGTGAGTATTTTTGTAATGGTTGGAGGAAGACTCATTAACAACCTGCAATAAGCAGATAATAACAACCTTGTTTGCTGGAAGCAAAGAGGATTTAAAATACTTAACTGATGAAGATCAAAGACTACAGCCTGAAGGACTACATCTCAATGTAAAGAAAACAAAGATCCTCACAACTGGACCAATAAGTAACATAATGATAAATGAAGAAAAGATTGAAGTCATCAAAGACTTAGTTTTGCTTGGATTCATCATCAGCATTCATGGAAGCAACCATCAAGAAATCGAACGACATAATGCATTAGGCAAATCTGCTTCAAGGAATTCTTTAAAGTGTTCCATAGCAAAGATAACAGTTTGTGGACATAGAACCTGAGCCAAGCTATGGTGTTTTCAATGGCCTTAATTATGCATGTGAAAGTTGGACAGCTTATAAGGAAGACCATTGTAGAGAACACCAGAAAGATGTTTACTTATGTTTTGTTGACTATGCAAAAGCATCCAGTAGTGTGGATCATAACAAACTATGGATAAAATTTTGAAAAATGGGAATTCCAGAATACTTAATTGTGCTCATGAGGAAACTGTGCCTAGACTAAGAGGAAGTCATTATAATAGAATAAAGGGATATTGATTTTTTTTTTAAATCCAGAAAGGTGTGCACCAGAGTTGTATCCTTTCACCATACTTACTCAATCTGTGTGCTGAGCAAATAACCTGAGAAGTTGGCTTATGTAGGAGAACATGGCATCAGAATTTGAGGAAGACTCATTAACCTGCAATATGAAGATGGTACAACCTTGCTTGCTGGAAGTGAAAAATACTTAAAATGCTTACTGATAAAGATCAAAGAATGGGCTGTACCTCAGTATAGACTGTACCTCAGTAGAAACAAAATGAAAATCCTCACCACTGGACTAATAAATAACATCATGATAAATGGAGTAAAGTTCAAGTTGTCAAAGATTTCATTTTGCTTGCATCTACAATCAGCACTCATGGAAGTATCAGTCAAGAAATCAAATGACTTATTGCATTAGGTATATTTGCTATAAAATACCTCTTTAAAGTGTTAAAGAGCAAAGATGTGGTTTTGAGGACTAAGATTTACTCTGACCCAAACCATGGTATTTTCAGTTGCCTCGTATGCATGTGAAAGTTGGACAATGAATAAGGAAAGCTATAAAATAATTGATGTGTTTGAATTATGGTTCTAGTGAAAAATATTGAAATGGACTGCCAGAAGAACAAACAAATCCTCTGTATGTTTAAATAAATCTTCAAATTTCAAGAGCAAACATGTCAATTTGAGAACTAAGGTGCACCTGACTTAAGCCATGGGATTTTCAATAACCTCATATGTATATGAAAGTTGGACAGTAAATAAGGAAGACCATAGAAGAATTTATGTGTTTCAGTTATATTGTTGGAGAAGAATATTAAAGGTACCATGGATTTCCAGAAGAACAAACAAATCTGTGTTGGAGGAAGTACAGCCAGAATACTCATCAGAAGCCAGGATGGTGAGACTTCATCTTTAATACTTTGGACATATTATTAGGAGAGACCAGTTCCTGGAGAAGGAAATTATGCTTGGTTAAGTGGAGGGTCAGCAAGAAAGAGGGAGACCCCCAACGAGATGAATCAGCACAGTGGCAACAGCAATGGGCTTAAGCGTAGCAGCAATTGTGGGGATGACGCTTGGCTGGGTGGTGTTTTGTTCTGTTGTACATAGGGTCGCTATGTGTCGGAAACAACTCAATGGCACCTAATAACAACAGAATCATCTTTCATGCACTAGACATGTTGTCAGGAGGGACCAGTACTTAGAGAAGGATATCATGCTTAATAAAGTAGAGTATCAGCAAAAAACAGTAAGACCCTCAGAGATGGATTAACATAGTTGCAGCAACAATGGCTCAAGCATAACAGCAATGGTGAGGATGGTGCAGGACTGAGAAGTGTTTCATTCTGTTGTGTTTTGGGTCTCTATGTGTCGGAATGGACCTGATGGCACCTAACAACAATGGTTCCTTACAACTGGGCAGTGTATTCCTTTTTTTAAGTCTATTCTGGCTGGAAGCTCTGCTGAAACCTCAGGTCACAATGGGTGACCTTGCTGATATTTGAAACACCAGTGTCATAGCTTCAATCATCACAGCAACGTGTAAGCCACTAAAGTATGACAAATGACACTCCATAGGTAGCATTAACTACACAAGGTTGTTGTTGGGGGCATGGGACATTGATAAGTCTGGATGTGATGAGGAGTTGTTGTTATGTGCTGTGGAGTCGGTTCTGACTCATAATGACCCTGTACAGGGTTTCTGAGTCTGTAAATATTTACAGAAGCAGAAAGCCTCCTCTTTCTCCCATGGAACAGCTGGTAATGTCGAACTGCTGACTGTGAGATTA